CCCCTTAGGATTTGGGTTGAATGTGCTATTTGTGTTATGTGGAAGACGTGTACGCAAGGTGACAAGTGCGTACACGGGCTATATGTAATATTTGACCGATTTAGGTTATTTAGACTCTTTCCATGTCTTTAATTGAATTGTCATAATACGTTATATCTTTCATTGTTAATCTACCCTTACACGTGTTAATCTACCCATATATGTTTTATTTGACATTGTTAACACTTGTTCCACCTCTTACTTGTTATCTTGCTCTTATATGCTTTAGTTGTAGTTATTGCCTTCCTTATTTTCATGTTACTTCTTTAATTGTTGAATTAATTTACTGAAGTTGTTATTTCATGGAATATCTTCTTGTTGAGTTGTTTGTGTTGAATTCGTAAAAGCCGTTATCACATTAAGGTGAAGTTGTTAATTGTTGAGATAACTTTCTTGTTGAGCTTTTTACTTTTATTTTGCTATTATTGAAATTCTTATACACATTGTGGTTGAGACTTGGGTTATTTATTGTGGAAACATTGGTATTGTTGATTCTTTTGGCACGTTGTGGCATATGGGCACTTGTCGTGCGAGTTGTGATTATGTTGTGATATTGATATGCATACGGTGGTATAAGGCTAGGGGTTATACGCATGCGGTGAGATAAAGTGGGGTTGATATGCTTGTTGGTAGTAGGGGAACTACTTGAAGCCACACGGTGTGATAAGGTGGGCTAAAACGCGAGTCGTTATTTCCGGAAAATGATTTTAAAACTAAATGTAAGGCTCTCGCGGTGATATAAGAAAAGATTGTGATTGAGATTGAGAAATGTGATTACTAGGCAGTACCTCGGTTGTGATTCTTGTTGTGCATTTCATATTGAAAAGAGTTATTGGTTAAACGGTTCTTCCTTGTCTTACCAGGTTTGCTCCTATTTGATTATTTGTGGTTCTCATTATTTGCCTTCTTCTTGTTATCTTTTTGCTTACAATTCTGTCATTAGTTTACGTTATTAAACAGCTTTGTTATCATTCATTTCTCCATTTTCCATTACTTTCCATTGTTATATTTTTATTCTGTTTATTTTATCCTAGTAGGTGTCTTGATCTGGCCTCGTCACTAATCTACCGAGATTAGGCTTGATACTTACTGGGTACCATTGTGGTATAATCATACTACGCTTCTGCATATTTTTGTGCAGATCCAGGTACGTCTGCCTGTGCTGGACGCTAGAGATTGATTGGCTAGCTGCTTTCAGGAGACTTCAAGATATACCTGCCCGACGTCCGCAGGCCTCGAGTCACCTTCCGTCACCATTCTCATTATTGTTATTTCCTTTTCATACAGTGTTTTAGTAGACGTTTTAGAATATTCTGTAGAGCTTATGACTCAGTTCCACCAGATTTTGGGAGTTATTTATTAGTTGTGATGTTGAGATATATTATGATAGTTTAATGATTTAAGTTTGAGGTTTTATTATTATTTTCGCTATTTCTCTATGAATATTAGACTTACCTAGTCTTAGAGACTAGGTGCCATCATGATATCCTAAGGTGGGAGATTGGGGTCATGACAATATGATAGAGCGGGTTACCTTCACCAAGATGGGTTTTACGTATATCTATACATATCCCTTTACCTTGGGTCCATTCTCCATGGGGTCGAATGAAGGGCTAGACCTCATAATTTTGGAGTTTTGCTACCGGTATCAGGTCTGCTTAGCAAAAGTAGGCCCATCCAATTGACGGACGGTGGCTTACCTTCGACAATTATGCACGGAGACCGTTGTGGTGTACTCATACTACACTTCACCTGTCCCGAGGTCGACGCCTTAGTTGACCCTGAAGAGGTCAAGAGGTGCTGCAAAGTGCCCTTGCCTAAAGCAGAGCTCGCGGACTTACTCCCGGCGAGGGTGCCTCTTCTCGAAGTCCCCAGCCCGAGAGCAAGAAACTGAAGAGACGACGCTCCTCTTCGGCTAAGACGTAGGAGAATAGAGCAAAAAGGCACAATCCGACCAGGCCACTGTGGTATTTGTTGATGAAGGGGACGTCAGTGGTGAAGAGGCTCCCCTTCAAAGGTGAAAAATATCTTTACCAGCTCAATCGGATGCTCAGCCAGGAGAGATTCAAAATCCAATGTCGGATGAAGTTAAGGCGCTTTGGGGAGAGATGGGCTTGATCGAGAACACTGATTCTCGTTTCCCGGACCCCTTTGTTGCCTCCAGTCCAAAGAGTTTAGACCTTGGGCCTTTGTTGTCATCGCCGCTTCTTCACCTTCCACACCGATGGGTTCGCGCCCATTGACATCAGCAACTCCTTCACCATTAGCAATAACTACATCTCCTCCACCAGTATCATCTGAATAAGAAAGGGGTGCATCTCCTCCAAGGTCTCCTGACCACGAGAATTTGGGGTACAATTATTCAACCTCTTCCCCAGATTCTCGAGGGAGGAGAAGTGCTACTCTTTCGGTTTGGAAGGAGTGCCATCTTTTTTTCAAGTCGGTGGAGCTTGCGAACTATCCGAAGTCGTTGGCTTCGGAAAAAGATTGGAACAAAATGTGCTCCCTTTTGGGAGAATGCTTGTTAAATAATGCAATGCATAGCGCGGCGCAGGTACCGTAATAGTTTCCTCGTATCTTCTTTTCTACTTGCATGCTGCAATGGAAATCATAACTTTAGTATTCTTTTTTATTGGCCAATTTTCTTGCTTCCGAAGGCCTGCAAAGATTGATCCATGATAAGCAAGGACTCACTTCCGAGTGGGATCAACTTTTAGCAGAAAGGAATCAGTCTGCCGCACGCCTCCCAGTGCTGGAGGCAAAAGCTGTTAAGATGGGCGAGCTTGAGGACCGGCTGCAGCAAAGCGAATAAGATAAAATGACCCATAGTCAAGAAGCTGCTCAATTACACGAACAAGTTTAAGAGGCTAAGGCTAAGTGGGCTGAGTTGTATGACGCTGTGCTTACTACTGCCGAGCGCGAGTCTGCCTTCAAGGAACAGATCAATAATTTGAAGGCAGACTTAAGCTCCAAAACCGAGGAGGCCAATGCTGCCGAGGAAAAGAGGGACCGGATGGAAGAGAGGCTTAAGCGGTCTATGGACCAAAACCGGCTCCATTCAACTACGAATGTTGAGCTCGACACCCGCCTCTGTGCTATAAAATTTGAAAGAGAAGAGCTCCAGGCCAAAATTGATAAAATTTAGACCAAACTCCAAGACCAAGAAGATTCCCTCGTCTTTGAAATGACATATGCCATATACCATATGAAGAGGAAGACCTTGGAGGTGGCTAAAGCAAGCATCGTCAACATAGACGATTGTATTGCCCAGGTCCGGGAACTGGAGTTATCTGCTCGCCAAAATCTTCCTGCTCGGCCTGTTGCGACTGACTCCTCGAGTACTGGTTCCAAGTACTCGGGAACCGAAGAGGAGACCGAAGAAGATGAAGGCCCTGAACAGGTAGTGGATCCACCTTCCTCTACCGGGGGAAATATAGAAACATCGGTTTATAGACAAGCGAACTCATTTAATCCACAATTGATAAAGAGATAAGATTAAAAATGAGATTTAGCAATTGAAAATGAAGAAGATGACAAGTCTGGCTTCGAGCGCAATGCCTCCGAAAATAAAAGTGAAAGCAATGATAAAGTGCGAATAAAGTTGTTTAATTGAAGAAGCAAAAGTAAAATATAGCTTATGTTTGCAGAAAATTTTGTGTCTTTACAATGGCTGCTGAGCCTGCTATTTATAACTTTACCTAGGGAAACAAAATCCTAGGATCAAACTCCTCTTAAATGATAATAAAAGAGTCATTGATGAATATGTAACGGCAGGTCATGAATGCAAATATTCTCTGCAACGGTCGCTCATTTAATGTTAGAGAATATTCTCCCATTGAATGCTATCCGATGGCAAACTCCTGATCTCCTCTCGTTAACTATGCTCCCTTCGGTATTTACCCAATGTCGATTACATTCGTTGTGTCCAGTATTGATTATTTTCTGACTTGTCTTTTTCTTACCTTTGGTTCCACGTGTCATGCTACCATTCGACCATCTGTTATAAATTAATTTTATCCCAAACACCGATAATAATGACGATTGTGAATCATCCTAGTAAAGTGGGGGAAGGGGGCGTTTGGCATGTTATAAATAGGTCGATTGTTATATGCATCTTTAAGAGTCTTATTGAATTTTACCACTCTCTCTTTTTCCAAGAGATAAGGTTTGAATTAAATAAACAGATAGAGACATGCTTCGTGGGAGATCAGAGTTTGGCTTTGTCGTGTCGATATGCAACAAGCAAAATGGAGGTAAGTAGTTAAATATCGGACCACTCCACCAAAAAACTAACGAAAATGATACTGGCTCTCAAAATAATAGTCAAAAAAATTTATATTTTTATATATATTATATGTAAAAATTATACAAATATTATATACTTTTTCGGCTATCGAATATAAATATTTTCTGACGCGGGCTAAAAGTAAAAAAAGCCCAATAACGTACTCCCTCCGTTCAAGTTGGAGTGAACTTTTTTGCTTTTCGAGAGTCATTTTGGCTAAGTTTTAAAATTAAATTAGATTAGATTAACTTAATATTTTAAAGTTAAAATTTAGATTAAAAATTATACGAAAAGTACTATAACTTGCAATTTTTCTTATGTCAATACGACGATATATGCATTTCATAATGTTGGTAAAAGTCTACGTCGTTTGAATCTCAAACAGCAAAAAGGTTCACATAAACTGAAACAGATTGAGTTACACAAATAACTGTTTGAACTCATTGTGATTATACACGATTATACTGTAATTATACATAAATTTTATTTTTTTTAATTGATATACCTAGATCATACAATAATATACACGATTATATACATATTATACATCCATAAATTATTATTTAAGCGGTTGGGTGGAATCCTCCGCCTACTTTGATACATAACACTATTAGTTTAAAGTAGACTGACAAGTCAATCATATTTCACACAGTATAAGCAAAGAAGTTTGATACTGTTTTGGTCGAAGTGATCATCCTTGTTAACAATTATATTGGCAACAATTTACAGACATCAAAAGTTGTCAGCAAATTTTGACATAAATGGATTCTAAAATTGCACATCGATTTCTTGCAATAAATATAAGCCATAAAGATTATCCTACTTATGGTTATGCCCTTCAGTCTTTTGTTGTAGGGATTGGCAGGTCATGCTTATCTATTACATACCAGTACTTTCGATCGAAGTACCAATCAGCAAATGCCTTCGGTGCAGACTGCATAAAACACTTCATATTTTTATCAGCGAAAATTTTACTACGAAAAATCAAAATATAAGGAAATAAAAATACGAAAAAATTAATAAAATTCACCATATAGTATATATACATAAAAAAAAATCCAGCAAAAGCGTATTAACTTATACCTCGTGGACGAAGGTTGCTCCACCAATGATGTTATGATAGAATTGTTTCTTTTGTTTTTGTTTTTATTTTTATTTTCAGTAGTTTCTCATTCCACCACAATAATATAATCAACCACTCCTTCTATTCCCTTTTACTTGTCCACTGTATTAAAAAATAGTATATTTTTATTTTTACTTGTCAATTTTAGCAAATCAAAAGAAGACTATATGTTTATTCTTGTTTTACCCTTATAATTAATTACTCATTTGATAAATCATTTCTCATGACTTGTCAAAATATTATCATTATTATGAGGATTATGGTACAAAATGCACTTCATATATTATTTTTATAGGGGCGTTCAAAATCTATTATGGACAAGTAAAAGTGAACGGAGAGAGTAATAACCATAACATGAATATATATCTCTGACTTGAAAGATCGGAAGTTCCCATTAATTACGATAATGGTATATTTCTATATAAACCTAATTGAGTGGTAAAATTAGACAGAAGAAATTAAAATATGCATTATCAAACTTAAATAAATAAATAATTTCTTACCAGGTTATTAATCATAATGGCGTTTTCAAGAGTCCACCTATATGATAGCGCTGAATGATGAATTACGGAGTCAATGAAAACTCCTCTCAACTTAGGATTGTTTGATTTGGGCAGAGCACTTAAGAATTCCGACCTAAACTCTGATGATAAATCCAAAAGCATTAGACATGCAACTCATTAAGCAAATGGTTTTCTTTTTCACAAAGAATTAACTTTAATAGTCGGTCACCCAACCGTTTCAATTAAAAAAAAGTCGACGGATATATAATATATTTACAATCTACATATAATATATGTATAACTATATATATCAATGTATAATCTATATATAGTAGCTAGAAAAAATAAAACGTCAATCCAGCCGGTTATTTTTGTAAGGGACCCTACTTAATTATTGGCATCATTGAATAATAAAAGAACTAATTATGCTATCATTGTTTAGCTCATTTCATTTGCACTAATTACCTCTAAAGGCCTTGTTTTGACGCTCAGTGCATGTCCTGTTTTCAACGCATCGGTCTGCATTCGGGTCTATAGTAGTTTTCATCTGCGTCAATTGATTTAGAAAATATACAGTAAGTGGCAAAAGAATTAACAAAATAGTATACCAAGTACTAGACTATGATATACTTAGGAAGTTTGTCTATGAAAATATTCTTGAAATCTTTCCAAAAGTATCTTAGTGTAAGTGTTTACACATGTTCTCTATAATGTTTTAAAAAAACAATTACCCTTTTTAAGTAAAAAGTAATTAACTTTGTGAAGAAGTGGAATGAGGGTGTTCAGGTAAAAAGTTCTTTAACTTATCAAATCTTCCAAAAAAAAAAAGAAGTCTATCTAAACATGTTTAGTTTTTGCACAACCTGATACAAAAAAAATAAAAAAATTCAAAAACTCTCTTCTTTTTTTTAAAAAATGTACTCCAAGCTTTTTCTAGTCATTTTTCACATCATAAACAAAAGGATAATAATTGATAAACATCTAATTACCTGATAATAATCAAATGCTGACATCGCAATGAAAAGTGGTGTCTTGATATGTTGTTGCATGTTTTCGGGGAAGAAGCACTGCAGTAATTGGATTTTTGTATGTCTTTTACTATTTCAAATGGCAAAAGATTCAAATAGTAATTGAATCAAGGGAGCAGGTAATGTACCAATAGTGGATTCATTTTTGAAGTGCATGATTTGGGTAGCGCTTTGGTAGATCCCTGCAACATTTAATATGACACTTCTTCGTTTTTAGTTTATTTCAAAAAAAAAATCATACATTTGAAAACTCTTTAACCATGACACGATCTTATCACCATAAAAATATCATGAACTATTTTAGACTAATAGATCTAAGGGTACTTTTAAGTATATGCCAAAAGCCTTGTTTCGTCCAATTATTCAGTTAAACACCACAATATAAAATGAAAATTAGTAACTTATATTAAACTAACGGAAAAATAAAGAGAGGAGGATAAGACAGGAGTAAGAATTTACATGTAAAGTGAGAAGTGAGTTATAAATTTTCTCGAAACCTCTTGCTTGCATAGGGTTCTTCCTATTAAAAACAGAGAAATCAAAAGTTATATTGCAATTCAAACCTTACAAAATGATTTTAATAAACGATCGATCATGTTAAGTCTTTGAAAATCTTACGCATGGATAAAGTAACCAGAATCAACTAAGCATTTCACTCTAAGAGTATTTGGCAATAAACTGCGGAAGTGATCACAATATAGCATTGTTGGATATCCTCCGGCTGAACTTCCAGCAAGAATAGCCTACAAACATGATTGAAAAATTTCAGCATCCAACAAAGTTGTTGTAGACTGGCAGTACTCCTTTATCCTTAATAAGAGATCTTGGGTGTGTGAATACGCTTTTATTAGAGAGCGCTTTATCCTCACTATGGAACTTTCTGACTCAAATTCAAAATAGTCAAATCCCAATAAGGATATCAGACACCGTAGAAATAAAAAAGTTTTAGCAAGAAACAAAATATAGTGTGATATAGAATTCACACATTTTTGGCATTCTTTAATCCTTTTGCCAATAATTCCTCCATTGCTGCTTCAAAAATCCTCGCGCCTCTGAAGTGGAGATTAGTAACCTAAAGAAATTAATGTAAAATGATATTGAAGTTACATGTTCTCATAAAATTCTTGAATTTAAGAAAATATTCAAAAATTAAGGATAAACATTCTAAAATTGGAATTTGAAACTATGACTTGAAAAGAGAATTACATGATCAACGTATTCAACATCTCCAGTGAACGCTCCACCGTCACAGTATCTAACAAACACTTTGTTCCAGTTGTAGAAATCTGCATTTTTACATTGAGTAGTAATATAATAAGTGAACTAGCATAAAAGAATTATGTTTGCTTTCTTCGAATGGAAGTTCCATCATATTCACTTTAATTATTGTTTCAACAAGCAGTAATATAATCCCCGAGAACCTGGATTTGCAGTCGAATTCTCGCTATAAATTCCTTGAAAATTCCACGAATCCGTAAAATTTGTAGAACCGACGTTCTTGTCCCAAATACGATCCTGGCATTCTTTGACGTTTGTGCACCATGCTCCTCCCTACGGACGTTGCAAAAATTTCAAGATTTAATGAAGTCTCTAAATCTCAATATTGAGATCGAAATAATCAGGTGTCATGCGAAAACAATCTTATAAATGAGACATCATATTTTAATATGATTTGGGACCTACATAGCAATTTACTAATACAAAAAAAAAAAAAAAAAAAAAAAAAAAAAAGAATACAAAAATATCAAGAGAAGGATTAGTCAAATATGGAAGTGATTATATATTCCTTTTAGGAAAATAAAAAATCAATTATGAAAATATTTTGCCCTTCATTCATGCAAAAATAAAATCCAAATTTAATAAGAAAATCAAGGCAAACCTCAACAAACACTACGTCGAAAAGAAAGCGACGAAAAGTTGCAAATTGAAAGTTCTCAAAGATTTAAAAGAAACAAATATTTCAGCACAAACTCTAGCTAAAAAAGGTAGAATCAACCTATACTACAAATGACTTACCGAAAGTTGTACAATCCAATTTCCAATTCCTTTGCCAAATCCAGGTTCAAAATGGAATGCTGGAGGTGATCCATCCAAACATACTGCCAATAATAAGGCAAAAAACTCTCTTCAAATTTCTACTACGTAGATGATTTCCTAATTTAGATTTTAATTTTTACATAAAAGTGAAGAAATTAACCTGCTCCTTTTGACACAGCATTCTTAAGGATTGTCTTCGTCACATTGTAGGAACCTAAGTCTTTTGCACATTCAGATTTGATGATGGCCAAAGAACAAACAAGCAAGCAAAAAAGATGAAGAGTTCTTGTCGCCATCACCATCCTGTAGAAAAATAAATTAAATAAGGAATTGGATAAAAACTAATTTGACAAAAGAATGTAACAATTTGTGTGAAGAATTTCTGAACATATATTGTAAATATGTTTCAAAAGAGGTATTGACCTAAACTAATCAACTTTGAAACCATCTATATATACTTTAATTTCTTTACTTGGGACCTCAAGATTTGTACGGCCTACAATCTATTTGTATAATGCAGTTATATGAAACTCTTAAACAACAACACACACACACACATACACACACGCACACACACACACATATATATATATATATATATATATATATATATATATATATATATAGGTGGTTATTAATTTACAAGCAATTCAAAGATTACCTGAAAAATTATGTCTCGTAGTTCGTTAGGTTATATATGCACCGGTCACTTTATAGGTGCATTTCACGTGTACTGTTGATGATTATAAATTTATTCAAACACAAATAAATAATTTTTAAGTACATGTATATTCTACAAACATTTGTTTGTTTATATAAAAAAGATATCTAAGTATACAAAAGCTATTTAAGAAGAGGTTCTCAAAATGTCAAAGCAGGAAACATGGAACTCTAGTGCACCTGACAATATTGAGAACAAAGAAGGCATATAATTGTCGAGAAAAAGTGCTTCAAGCTTACCATGCCCATAGGAAATTATGGTTCTTAATGATTACTTTTTGATCCATGTCAAAGTTAAAAGCTTCTTTTAGAGATCGATTCTTCTTTCTCTTTTTTTTTTTTTGTTGTTGTTATTTTAATAAACTATGAAAATATAATCGTAACAAATAAAACTTGAATACATCGAAAGAGCACCTTATTCCTTCACCACCTTCTAGGAAGGTGTCAGGGATAAGGCCTCAAGCAGAAAACAAATTACAATAATTATAACGATCCTATCGGTCGTATCTAGAACCCCATTTTTCTATTTGATACTTTTCGTAGGTCGGTATGATGTTTTATGACTTGTGGGGATGAATAATTTAATTTTCGGGAGGTTCGGGAATGATTTGAGACACTTAGTTCCAAAGTCGAGGCAATGTTGGAAGAGTTGACTAAAGTAAACATTATGAGTAAACGATCCCGGATTGGTGATTTGAATATACCAATAGATTCGCGTGATGATTTTGGATTTGTATGTATATTTGGTTCGAGCCTTGGGTGGCCGGAGTTGATTCCATGCTTATAGTCGAAAGTTGAAATTTTGAATTTAAGAAAGTTTGAAGTTTTTGGTTTGATGCACGATTCTTGGTTTTGATATTGTTTTTAGTATCTTGAACCTTTTAGCAAGTTTGTATAAGATATACATACTTGTTAGAATGATTAGACGGGGTCTTGGGTACCTCGGGTGAGTTTTTGGGTGATTTCGAATTATTTTGAGTCAAGTTGAGATTGTTGGTTTTCTGGTGTCAGGTAGTGAATTGCGATCGCGTAACTTGTGCAGCGATCACATAGAAGAGGAGTTGGACTGGGGGAGTTTCTCTTCATGATCGCATAGCTTTTTGAGGGGATTGAATCGTGGTCGTGCGAGAGGTCCTGCGATTGCATAGAAGGCTGGCCAGTTGGCCTTCGCGATCACGTGGGTGCTGTCGTGTTCGTGTAGAAGGACTTCAGGCGGTGGAGCTCAGTGCTTCGCAATCGTATGAGATGAAGTTCACGATTGCGATGTGTAAATCGGTGTCAGGAATTTTTTATGTCTAAATTTTGGAATTTAGCTCATTTTCAGAATTTTTTGAGTGTTGGAGAACGAGAGGAGGAGAGTTTGAAGAGGGATTTTACTACAATCTTAAGGGTAAGTAATTGATTTGATTAAATATCTTGATTCTCCATGGATTTCTATACCTAAAATATGGAATTTAAGAGTGAAATTTGGGTTTTTGTCTACAACTTAAGAGAGTATATTTTGAGGGTTTTAACACCTATTTGGACTCGAATTTGGAAACTGATCATTTATTTAAACTCGTGAGGTTATGGGTCAACGAGATCTAGTTCTAAACTCGGGTTTTGACCTTGTGGGCTTGAGTTGACTTTTGTTGACTTTTGGAGATTTGATTAAAGATTGAACCTCTATTATTTAGAGTTAGTTTCTATGACTTTATTTCACCCCGTTAAGTATTGTTTGGCTAGATTAGGAGCATTTGGAGGTCATAGATAGAGGTAAAGGGTGATTGGAGGCTAAAGCCCGTTCCGAAAGAGGTAAGTATCTTGCCTAATCTTGGTTTGAGGGAAAGCACCTTAAGATATGACCTTCCTTTCTAATTATAAATATTTTTGGGGCAACATGTATGCGAGATGACGAGCATATATGCAGGCGTCGTAGTTTATTCATACTGGGGGTTGACATTAGGCTACTTTATGCCTTGTTTGGTGGTGTGTTCTTCTTGACTTATAATTTATTTAATTGTATGAATACATGAGCGTATTTATTCGTGCTAGAGATCATGTTTAGGCTTATGATATCTTCATTTGGCATGATGGCCTATTATAGAGATATTAATTAAGATTTAGTCGTAGTCATACTTTGTATCATGAACACACATCCACGCCTCTATTTATTATGTCCTTGTGCATATTATTTGTTATCTCTTGAGCTTATGCTTACCTCATTGGAGGTGATGATCTTGATACGGTTTGATGTGATGTGATTATGGCATTAACTAGACATTGTGTGCGGATTGATATTTGATTTAGCATGAGGTTTATGTCGTATGATTATTGTTACAGCACAAGGTTCCTACCGTGCAGCTTGTGAATAAGGATTCATCCCTCTAGGGTCTCCCTCCTGTGTTTCTCTCTTGGTGGCGTACACGCGTAGTTTATGTACGAGTTTCTGGTTATGATGGTATTGGTTGATGAGTTGAACACAAAGGTGGAAGCTTTGACAATTCAAGTGAATAATTTAAGCTATATCATGCATATTATATGCTCGTTGTGCTTATCTTCTGACATGCTACTTGATGTCTTTGTTACATGCTTTACACTTGATAGTTGAGATAGAACGATTCATGTTAAATTGCTCTTTCGTGACGCATTCTTGTACGATACTGTATTTATTTTTATTGCCTTGCTATGTTTATACATGAACTGTATAGGTATGTTTATTTGTGAGTATTGTATGGCTTGAACCTCGCCACTACTTCACTAAGATTAGTTTTGATATTACTGCGTATATGTTATCTTTGTACTCATACTACATTTCTGTATATTTTTATGCAAATTCAAGCATTGGCTCGAGTTGACCTCAGGAGGGTGCCCATTAGCTGACTTAGGAGACTCAAGGTAGTTCTGCTAGATCAACCACAAACCCTTGGAGTCACCTTCTTTCCACCATCATACTGTTTATTTATGTTTCGTATCTTGTACTTCTGTATTATGACTCAGTTGTATCTTCATCTTAGAAACTCATGACTCGTACTATTGCGTTTTGGAGGTTATTATGGTATTTTCACTTTGGATGATATTGTGAGATTTATTATACTTTATCTATATCATTATAGCACTTTATCCTATATTTGACTTGTTTTAGTTGATTATGATTGTTAGCTTACTTAGTGGGTTGGGATAGGTGTCATCACAGTCATGGTGAGATTTTTGGTCGTGATGAAATTGATTTATAAAAAACTAACATCCTTAAACTTTCTTTGATCCGCTAAACAATCACATCCTTTCTTTAAGTTCTAGCTGTATTTTTTGTAGTGTAAGCTCTTTATATACACTAAATGCTCTAAATAATTTACAGTTCCTTGCTTCGCATGTGTGATATATCAAAGCCATAACTTCTTTCTTGAATTTCTTCTAATGTTTACTTCTGATCAATCTTCGGACTAAGAATTAAACCGTCCGACATGAGTAAATTTACCTGAACCTGCAAACAGATCAAGAGCTTAGTGTATAAAAGGATGAAATCCCAAAATAATTCAAGACATTAAAGTGCGCCAACAATGATTGAAAATAATATTATGCGTTCCCAAAGAGGCTATGGACTAGTAATATATTATATGATTGTAATAACAAGAGTAGGAGGTGTTTTGAAAGTTAATTAAGGTATAAGGAGAGGCCTAGAACAAGGTGAAGTTAGAATTTACACTACAACCCCGTAATTCAAATGAGTTCGCACAAGCTTCAACTTCAAACAAGCATACCTGCCTGTGTATCATTAGTTAGGTGGAGAATTACCTATCAAATTAAAGATCTTCGAGTCTAGTTTTTACGCAACAAACCATTTGTTAATCCGATCTTGCTACAAAACGTTATGCATATTTTACTATGGACTTGTATAGTGCCCTGTGAAAATGGAGACACGTGGTACATCTAAGGGTTCCATATATAAATCCCAAACTCGTCTTTTAACTCATGATTCTTCGTATTCTCCTCCATAATCAGAACCCTAGCAGACCTAAAATATTTTCCTTCATTCTATAACTTGAAGGTAGGTTAATTTTATCATCAAGCAAGGTTATCCCAACATAAAGTAAGTGGTTATAACACCGATTTTTTGTTGATTGTAGCGAATAGAAGTTTTCTCGAGCAAACTTCAAAGTGGATCAGTTTATGAGATTTCCAACAAGATAAGGTATGTTGAAGCTTTTCCCCTACCTTCATCCATGAGCTCTTATGAGTGTTCCAAGTAGTTAAGGCAGAAAGGAATGGTATGGAGATACACCATTGAATTGATAGTCTAGGGAACTTGTCACTCTTTGAAGGTATGTTTAATTGCTTATATAGCTTAAGATTGTTGTGGAGTTATTAATATTAGCTTTCTTATTTGCTATTCTTGTAGATTAAATCTTATAACGGAGGGTTGATTCATCATAGTTATTCTAAGAATTGAGAATCGAGGTATGTAAGGATAAATCGTCTCATTTTTTCTACGACATGACCTCCTAGACTTATATTTCTCACTTATGAATTTGCATGGTCCTAGAGTGTATAGCATGTTGAGATAACCATGCCATTCTTTCATGAAAATGAATCTTTTCATATGTTGTTATGCTCCTATTCTATCAAGCCTTTTATAGAGATTATACTCCTGTCGTTGATGGATTTTCCATAGATATCATGCTCCCGATTGTTGTTGATCTTTCCAGATTTTCTCAGATTG